TGCTGTGATGTGTTATGGACGAATGTGACCTGTTCAATATTGTTTTGTGCCGTGATGATCAAATTGCTAAAAAGGTTCCATTCATAAGTTATACAATATTGAAATGGAATTAAATTCATTACACAACATAACATAGATCCAAAAAACATAACAATTCTGCATTCATTAAAAAAAGTTACATTACATCAACGACTTAAAGGAAATACATGAACAAAACATAATAACATGATGTACACCCTAAATCTACTCGTCATCCCCGTCTGTGTCCGTCTCCGAGTCGTCCTCATCTGACACATGACCCCCATCCCCTGCTGCCTCAGCTACCTCACCACCTCTTGCAAGCTCCAGACGAGCAAGCCTGTCTTCCACACCCTTAAACCTTCCATGTATGTGTCTAAACCTTTCATTCCCTTTCTTTCTCCATTTTTTATGTGCCAGCGCCATCTTTCCTATCTTCTTTGTCATTGCATTTATGCCCTTCATGACATCACGCAGTGAAAATCCACCTTCAGGTTCAGCTATCTCCTCAACCTCAGCCACATCCTCCTCCTCCTCCTCCTCCTCCACCTCTGGCTCAACAATATGGTCATCTGGGGCAACATAAGGAACCTCAACCTGGGGCATACCACTGAACTCCCACACACCCGATCTCGTGTTCTTAGTAATCTTGCACTGCTCTAATAGACGCTTTCCGAACTTGCAATTATAGCCCGTGGTCTTCTTCAACAGCTCAGTCTCCATGGGAACACCAAAGTGAACCAATATCCTCTGTACCAGACAGGCGTATGGAAGAAGACCCTTATGTTTGGCCTTAAACATAAACCAACAGATATAGTGCCTCCAGTTCACCATCTGGGCATGTCGGATAGCCCACATAATGGGAATGTCATGTTCCAACACCCTGGAATGATTAAAAGATCGCGGAAACAGAACGTGGGTGAGGACATAGTGTAGTATACGGGACTCCACAGAAAGCAACCCCACCGTATAGTGCAAGTGTTCCCCACAGACTCTTCTCTGCTCCTGCACGGCATCCTCTCGTACATATCCTGGAAGTACTACACCACTATCAGCGTCATACGCCACAGTCTGAGAAGAGTCAAAATCATAGCCGAGTATCTCCAACCATGCAGGTGCCGTCATGATGATCTCTATTCCACAGACCCTCGACCTCAGCTCGCCCTGTACGTAGCTGAGGTTATGGTAGAAGGCCCGCACCATAAGCTCTGAATACGGACATAGGGTCTCGGCCAACACCCTCAAATGTGCCGCCTCCAACACCCCCACAATTTCAAATCCCTCCTTATCAAGAAAGGCTGTATCCAAAGATTTTGGAGCACATAACGGTCGGTTCAAATGGTCACGTACGAATGAAGCGTGGATGGCAGGGTCGTCCTCAAACAGATACCCATACGGGAGGTCAACAGTATCAGGCTCTTCGTCTTGTCGCCTTGACGAAGAAGGCCGCCCTTGCCTATGCTTGGTGCGTCTCTCAAGTGACTCATTGCCCTCATCGCTTGGTCTTCTGCGGCTCGTCATTTGTTTAAGGTACCTACAATGAAACATGTCAGCATTTAACTATATGAAACATGTCATGATGGTAATGAAAACTTGCAACATAAGGGCTGTAAACCAAAAGCAAACTTTTGCCACATACAAACTTTTCAAACAAAAAAATTCACACAATGCAAAAAAATAAACCTTAGTAGATTAGGGTTACAAAACCTACAACAAACGCTTTGATTAGAGTTCACAAATTCGGACAGCAAACAAATAAAAAAAATTCCTAAACCTAAAACACAATGCAAGTTAAGAAACCTTACCTATCCTTCAGATTTCACGATTTGGACCGTATTTGGGGCCAATCCACACGCCTAAGGGAAGGGTTTGGGGCGTTCTTCAGCTGCTCCTGCGGATTTGGGGTTTGGGCCGCCTCCTTAGTCGATTAGGTCATCCTACTCCCCCTCTGCCGAATGGGGGGGGTTTTTAAAAAACAAATCCGTCGATATTTAGTCGACTAAATATCGTTACTTAGTCGACTAAATATCCCAAAAATGTAGTCGATTAAGATGATTTTTTAGTCGACTAAATTTGCGGTAGTCCACTTTCTGAAGATTGACCATTTGCTCGACTAAAACAGCAAGGTAGTCGACTAAAAGGGGGCAGGTTGGTGGATAGTTCTTGATCAGGGGCAAATTGATTATTAATTAATTAATGAGGGGCAAAAGGGTCAAAAAGCCCTGAACATTGTCTCTATAAAATTAAGATGAGATCCATAAAATACATGCTAACTATTATTTTTATGCTGGTATTCTTTTTATTGCAGTGCTTTGTTTGATCAACCGTTAGATTTCTCGGTTTTTAATTTATGAAGTTTTCCTAATTTATACTCCTATTTTCAAATTTCACTATATGTAAGCGACAGAAATTGATTTTTTTAAGTAAATTATCGAGATATTACATGATACTATTTTGGCTTTAATTCAAATGTGTTAGCTGAAAAGAAATTAATATCTTTGAAAAACCTGTAAAATATTATTTTTTCACTTTCGGAGGGCCTTATAAATACAACACACTTGCGGGCCTGCCAGGAACCTAATAGATGATAATTTCGACGTAGTATGTCATATATTTTGTGTTTTTGGAGAAGTTTAAAAAACAAGTATGGTAACTCAATTGGCGTAAAAGAATTAAGCAGGCGAGAGTGTGAGAATATATGTTCGATCATTCTCAGTGTATATTTGAAATGAGTTTAAAGCTTTAATACTAGATCTACCACGAACATAATTACATGTCGTTAAGGATATATATGATTTATCCAACAACAAAAAAATAGTGTTTCTAATGCCCCCTTAAGTAATCTAGTTCTTAAACAGCTGCCGCACCATTCAGTTCAACAAAACTTCAACGTGATACAGCAATACAAGAAAAAGAATCTTGGAAGTTGAAAATCCTCCATCAGCCCAAAAAAAAAAAAACCCTGCTCTTTTCATACCGTGGCCCTTTGTGAAACAAGACCTTTTTTTTCAAGGAATTAATTAAGAAAAGGGTGTGGGACCTTGTAGAACTAAAATTTCTCTCAAAGATCAATGGCTATTATTTAGTACAATAATGATCTTTCCAAAATGGGATAAACTAGCAAGAAATATAGCTGTACAATTTTCTGAAACACTTAATTTTGTGGGCCTTCTACACTTTACTTTCTCTATTATTTTACTAGGACTTCTTAACTCCAATAAACAATTTTAACTTCAAATTAATTGAAGTGACAGAGACCTATCTTGGTAATGTAAATACCTTAATGAAGAAAATATATTAGAGATCAGCAAATGCTTGGGCCACATTAGGTACTAGTTAGTTATATAGTATAGAAATTTATATATATTGTTTCATTTTATTTTATTTTGTTCAATTTTCTAAGAGATATTGTTATTTTTTTAATTCGCTAATTAGAGAATATATTGATGTGCTAGACATTAGACATTGATACAGAAAGCAAAAGAAAAAGAAACCTGTCAAAAAATGATTCGAAAAGGACAGAAGTGGTGATGCAACAATGCCTACTGCATTATTCACATAGGTGTAGTTATTAGGTATCCAAAAACAATACAAAAAAGTGTAGTTATTATTGTGGGTACTATTCTCATCCGCATTATTTTGCTTTCTCTTTCAAAACTAATGTTAAATAGGACACGCATTTGAAGTGAGAAAATTGAATGAATAAATATCACTTAATTTCCTCAACTTCTATTTCATATCAATCCTCTGCAACCTAATCAATAATCGTTATTGCAAATACTTCCACACTTGTCTTCAACTTTCAATTTTTATATTTAGGATCGGTTTTTTTCTTCAAAAGTTGTTTTTTTTTTCTGTTTTTTTTTAGTTTGTTTGGATGTATGTTCTTAAAAAAAACAAAAATCACAAAAAAGTCAAAAAAATATACTTTTTTAGAAGCTAAAAATTTTAACTTCTAAGAAAAGTAAAAGTTAAAAGTCAAATATTTTTTTCAAAAATTAAATATTTTTATAAAAATATAAATAACTTTAACTTTTATAAAAAGAACTTCTAAAATAAAGAAGAGATAAAAATTACTTTTTTTAAAAGTACAAACAAACGTGCTCTTAATTTCAACAAAATTTTACTCAATATTCAATAAAAAATGTCAGTTGAGCTTCTTAATTTGTAATAAGCACTGAAAATTAAGAACCGGTTTATTTGGTCTTTTAAAAAAAATATCTTTATGTCTTATTTATTTTAAAAGTATTTTTTACAAAAAAAAAATTTATATTTTTTAAAAAATATTTGATTTTTGAAAAAAAAAATATTTGCCCGAACGAGTTTTTTTTATTTAAAAAAAAACTTTTCATAATAAATTTCTTTGAATGTCAGTTTTTAAAAAAAAAATCAAAAGTCATAAAAAGTAAAAAACTTATTTTTTTTAGTTAAAACTTTTATAATTCATGCATGCATATAGAATCACAAAAATAAAATAAATAATCGGTTTAAAATTTAAAGCCGCCCTCACATCATGAAGGCATTATTGTGTGTATTATCATAAATCATACTCTCAATTTTAGTTGATTACTTGAAGATCAAAGCGCTGCACCAATGACTGAATGCCATGTGAAGATGTGTGGCCATTTTGGATTCTGCTGGAAAGGGAAAGCATTGGCGTAGAATTAATTAATATTAATGATTAATCAGAAAGGCTTATGTATTCCAGAAAATGCTGGAAGGATATGCCGTCAATTGATGATGTGGATTTGTGTGTTTGGAGGACTAGTATGTGGGGATGTCCCACAAATCACGTGGAGGGGGCTGTCCTAAATCCCAATGGTAATCGTACAAGACAAAGAATGGTCATTTACAATCTCCTCTAATCTCCTCCCAGCCAATTATCATATATTTCCCACATGGGACTCCTGGTCCCACCCCAATCTCCTCTCCACTTTATATTCTGCTCTATTTTCTTCACATTTGCATTACTTCTATCGTATCCTACCGTATTATATTTTTGCATAATACAAAGTTTGCTATTTGCAGATTACTAAGACGTAGCATATATATATATATATATATAGCTAGTTTAGATCATGGGAGATTCTTCTTCTTCTTCTGCTTCATACATTCATATGGTATTGCTTCAAATTCCATCTATTTCACTTTGGTTTTTTTGGTGACTGTTGATCATAATCATATTTATTATGGGTTTTGCACAATAGCCTAATCAAGATCATGTGTTGACAAGTTTCTACAAAATATAGGTGCAGCACCTGATCGAGAAGTGCTTGATTTTTCACTTGACAAAGGAAGAATGCATGGAAGCACTCTCTAAACATGCAAATATTAATCCTATTATAACATCCACTGGTATGTTCTTTACTCCCTATAAAAGAGCTATATTTATAAAATCAAATGGTAGTAACTCAGTTGGCACATGGGAGCTGAGCAAGTGAAGGTAAGAGCAAATGTTCAATCCTCCCTAGTACTATATTTGGAAGAGGTTTAAAGCCTTAATCATATACTAGTCCCGAATCGTACTAGTCGCGAAGCGATGAACCGATTGGAATATTTAAAAAAATGGAGATATATCTCTAAAAGCAAAAAGCACGCACGCATGCTATAAAAAACTACTTCAATCCAAAATCTTAATATATTAAGTTAAGTGAAAGTCTTTTTAATGATTTATATTATTCTCTAATACGTCCATTTATATAAGAGCCCTTGAGCTTGAAATATGGATATTGCGTAAGCCCAACTTTTATTTTTGATTTTACCTTATGTTTATTTATTTCTATAAGTGGAGCGCGGTGAGAAATACCATGTAAAAAATCAATTCAACCCAAAATTTATGGCGTTAAGTGAATGCTTTTTTAATGGTTTATATTATTCTCTAATGCAAAATCAGTGTTCCCTGGCCTGTGAAATTCAGTATGCGATACTATCATCGAGAAAAATTGAGTAATATCTAATTATATTTCGCTTAAGTTCTCATACTAGTTTTTGATACAACCCTGAAATTTTTATCTATGAATTTGATCATACGTTGAAAGTTTACCAAACAAACTCAGCTGCCAAGCTTCTTTGCTCATGACTCACTTTGAATATTGAAAGATATAATTAATTGTTGACTCAGCTGCCAAGTTTTAGTAAAGTTAGTCTTTCACAAGTTAAAAGTTTCAATATTTGAAATCCATTATTCAATCAATTTCCTTGCTTCACATCCAAGGGGATTTTATACAGATGAAGGCATGTTAGATATAAGATTTGAAGAGAACTACGTACTATGTTGCCTCATACACACTGTGGGCCCTTTGCAACCACTTTGCAAATGAGATTTAATTAAGGAATGTTATATATTAATGAGATTTAAGGAATCCTTTATATTTTTGTTAAACGTTAAAATTAAAGAACTTGTTCAATATCGATCATATAGACATGCATGTACACTTGAATCAAGAGAAACGCTGGGGATTTGGATAGAGAATTTTAATCAAACTTTGTGATAATAACTTACCAATATATCAATAATATATTAAATATAGCATCTTTCTTTTTGTTTATGTTTGCCTTTTTTATTAAACAATCTAAGCTTAAAAAGCTTTTTCAAGTTATGATGTTTTTGTATATTTCAAATTGGAATTATAATGGGATTGATGCTTAAGATAAGAATCTATTCTAATATATAATAAGGAAGAGAAGAGAAGAGATCACAAACCTTATACTTTGTGGACACCAAGTTTTAAACCTGCACCTATTAAGAAAATCTTTTGACCCACCTTTGTTGAATTGGTTCTTTATATAGTATCAGAATTTTGTGTTCTGAGTTCGATCTTCATTATTCTTCATTTTTTTTTATGAAATTTCTTAGCATATATAGATGAGTCTATGTACTGTCCACCCTTCAAACTCAGCTTTCGTATAAGAGAACGTGTTAAAAAATAATATAAACTATTAAAAAAATCTTACACGTGATTACGTTATGATTTACGAAACATAATATAATATAGTATGGTTACGTGGATCAATAAATGCAGTGTGGAATGAGCTAGAGAAGGAAAACAAAGAATTTTTTGAGCCTTACAAGAAGTCGAAGAGTAAAGAGGACAAAATAATGTCGGAAGCAGAGACAACTCAGATGCTACAGAAGTTGATATCAGAGTCAGATTCCTCTAAAGATGCAGAAGACGACTAATTCATCTATTATTGAAAACGATATGACCTTTGGGTCCCACGAAACCAACCAAAACCACAAAGGCTCTCCTTAGCTACTCTACTATCTCTGTATAGTCTCTGTACTAGTATCGTACGTGGTGTTGGTCCTCTATATGGAAGGTTGTTAATTATTATGGTAACTATTTTATGGAATTAAAGCACCCCATGAATCTTAGCTTTTGTAAAATGCTATTGCTAGGTTATCCACAACTTCGCAAATAAAATAATGGAAAAAATTTATCTTTTTAAATGATATAATTTATATCTTTTTATTTTAATAAAATATGGGACCTACATCTTTATTTTTTTTTGTTAACTTTCTCTTCTCATTTATTTATCTCTTTCTCTCTCTTAAAATGACACAACTTTACATCTTTTAAAATGACACACATTTTTTCCATAAAAGAATGTCATATCAGCCTTGTAATTTGATTTCACATAGTGTGTTATCTTTTTTTTATCTATCTATTGTATATAAAAGCTCTTCTATTTTCATTTCGTGTTTTTTTATATGTTTTTACATTTTTTATTCTAATAAAAGCTCTTCTATCTAGAATCTTATACAAACATAAATTTAAATTAGATAACAACTTATAATTTTAACATTCCCCCTCAAGTTGGTGCATGGATATCTATCATGCCCAACTTGTCAATTACTTCCTTCAAACTTTTTCCAGAAACGGCCTTGGTCAACACATCTGCTAGCTGATCTTCGGATCTGATATAAGGAGTACTGATTATTTGTTGATCCAATTTTTCCTTGATGAAATGTATGTCTACTTCTACATGCTTCGTTCTGTCATGCTGTACAGGGTTGTGTGCAATCTCTATGGCAGCTTTGTTATCACAATAGAGGTTCATTGGCTGTTTGTTTTTAAATCCCAACTCACTCAGCATGGTTTTAATCCATAATAATTCACATGTATCATAGGCCATACCTCTGAATTCTGCTTCAGCACTGGACCTGGCCACCACTTTCTGTTTCTTGCTTCTCCATGTAACAAGGTTCCCTTCCACAAATGTGAAATATCCTAAAGTGGACTGCCTAGTAGTCCTATCACCTGCCCAATCTGAATCTGTATACCCTTCTATAATCTCTTTTTTATGCTTGGCAAATAAAAGACCTCTACCAGGTGACCCCTTTAGATATCTTAGAATTCGAAATACTGCTTTTAAGTGATCTTCACTAGGAGAATGCATAAATCTACTTACTACACTCACAGCATAAGCAATGTCAGGTCTAGTGTGAGAAAGATAAATTAATCTTCCTACTAACCTTTGATATAAACCAATGTCAGCTTCTGATTGATCCGGGTATATGCCAAGCTTGTGATTCATCTCCATAGGTGTGTCAGCTGGTTTACAGGCCAGCATTCCTGTTTCTTATAAGAGGTCTAAGGTATATTTTCTTTGAGACAATACAATTCCTTGCTGTGATCTAGCAACTTCAATCCCCAAAAAATATTTTAACTGTCCTAGCTTCTTCATTTCAAACTCAGTGGCTAGTTGCTGTTCAAGGGATTTCATTTTTTCTTCATCATCTCCAGTTAGCACCATATCATCAACATACACTATAAGAATAGTTATTTTTCCTTTTTGATGCTTGAAAAATAGAGTGTGATCTGCATTACTTTGAACATATCCAAATTTGTTCATTGCTAGAGTCAATCTTCCAAACCATGCTCTAGGTGACTTGTTTCAGTCCATATAGTGCCTTTTTCAGCTTGCAAATTGTATTTTCTTTTGGAGTTGAGAGCTTTATACCCGGTGGGATATCCATATATACTTCCTCCTCCAAGTCCCCATTTAAGAATGCATTTTTTACATCAAATTGCTTCAAGGGCCAGTCTCTATTTGCTGCCAAAGAGATCAGAATCCGGATTGAATTGAGCTTGGCTACCGGAGCAAATATTTCTTGGTAGTCCACACCACATTTTTGAGTACCCCTTTGCAACTAGTCTAGCTTTGTATCTATCTATGCTCCCGTTTGCTTTCAGTTTCACATTAAACACCCATTTGCAGCTAATAATCTTCTTCCCATTTGGTAGAGAAGTTAATTCCCATGTAGAATTTTTTTGGAGTGCTATCATTTTTGCATTTATGGCCTCTTTCCACTTAGGATCATCCAAAGCTTCCTGCACACTATTCGGAATACAAACACTGGATAATTGATTAACAGCTAGAACACGTGGTTCAGATAAATTTTTTGTGGATATATAGTTGCTGATTGGGTATTTTGTTTTCACTTTAGGATCGGGTTCATACAAATTTTTTGGTATTCCTTTGTTAGGGCTAAGAGATTTTCTAATCTGTGTATGGGGAGTAGGAGATAAAACAGAATTGATTGGACTAGAGTGTACCTCAGGGATGTCTTCGAGTTGCCTTTCAGGGAAATCCACAGGTGATGTCTTGGATATATGTATTAGACAAGGTATTTCATTTTGAGGAAGTGCTTCTTGATCAGATTGTCTTTGAGGAGATGCTTCTTGATTCGGTTGGCAAGTTATTTCTGAGTCAGCAGTAGGTGCAGGTGGTGAAGTGCAAGGTATCACTTGAGTAGTCAGCCATGTGTCATCTTCTCTATACAATGGTGTCAGTGTTGTCTCCCCCTGAGAAGAAGATCCTCGGACTCCCCCTGAATAGTAGGGTTCAGATTCATGAAATGAGACTTCCAAGGTGACGTACATTTTGTGAGATACGGGATCAAAACATCTATAGCCTTTTTGAGATTTAGAATACCCAACGAAGATACATTTTCTTGCACAGGATCTAATTTATTTCGCAAAGGTTTTGGAACATGAACATAAGTAATACAGCCAAAGACCCGAGGTTCAAGGTGAGAGACATGAGGAAGAGGAAAATGGGACTCAAGAACTTGAAGAGGAGTTCGAAAATTAAGAACACTAGAAGGGGTTCTATTTATTAAATACGTGGCAGAGGTAATAGCTTCTCCCCAGTATCGTGGAGGAACGTTCATTTCAAATAGAGAGGCTCGAACAACTTCTAACAATTGACGATTTTTTCTTTCAGCCAAATCGTTTTGCTGGGGAGTGTAGGGAAAAGAAGTCTGGTGTTTGATGTCGTTCGAAAGTAAGAAGTCAGAAAACAGACCATTAACGTATTCAGTGCCATTATCAGATTGAAGGGTGTGTATGGAGGACGAATACTGGTTCTGAATCATAGCATGAAAATGTTTAAATGCAAAGAAGACATCCTTTTTTTTGTTTAAGCAACGTTATCCAAACCATTCGTGCGCGTTCATCAATAAATGAGACATAATAGTAAGAGTTAGAGAAGGATGAAATTTTTGCAGGACCCCAAACATCAGAGTGCACAACTTGAAAGGGAATGGAACTTTTATTCAAGCTTGGGGAAAAAGAAATTCGATGGCTCTTGGCCATTTCACAAAGGCCAGCAAATGACTCTACAATTCGATGCATTAGTTAATTTACTCACAGAAAGAAAATTAAATTCAAGAGTTGGTACTACGAGGACATGGTCAAGGGACATCTAAGCGGATATTTGAATGGAGCCTTGAAGAGTGATGGTGGAAGTGCCACCATTTGCAGTGGAAACATACGATTTGTCAGAGGGAAAAAAAGAGGAAAGGGATGCGGGATCACGAACCATGTGATCGGAAGCACCGATATCAATTATCCAGGTAGAATTCTGAGAAAGTGTAGAGAAAGCAAATGACTTACCCAAAATACCTTCATAAACCGTGTTAGCAGTGGGATTACCAGAGGAAAAGTCACCAGCGGAGGTGATAGTCAAAGCCTTGTTGAGTGTTTTCCGACAAGGGCGTTTGCTGAAGTCCCACCAATCAGAGTAGCCTATAATTTTGTAGCGCTTGAGTTTGGTGTGACCCGAATCACCGCAATGAGAGCATTGAAGTGGATTGGTCTTGGACTGATCCTTGCGAGGCCTTTGGGGTTGGGAGAATGATCCAGAATGAGGGCGTGGTGAAACGGTGACAAAGGTTGTCGAGTCAGAGGTTGCAGAGGGACGTCCCATAGTGAGACGTTGCAGAGGGACGTCCCATAGTGAGACGTTGCTGAGCTTCGCGCCTAACGTAGGCATACGTTCGTTCGAGATCCAATTTTGGATCCTTGCGAAGAATTTCACCACGAACAGAGTCAAATTCCTTATCCAAACCGCTGAGGAAGATATGTACCCGAAGTCAAGCCACGACGGAGTGCATGCGAATAACACCAGCCACAGAGCCCTTTTGTGCAGTCGTCCGATGGTCAATCTCCTGAAAGATCGACAACAGTTCGTTGTAGTAGACGGAGAGGGGTCTACAATTTTGTTTTGTGTTGAAAGACTTATGGTTGAGATCAAACAAGCATGACTCATTTGATCCGTCGTAGAAGGTGCGAAGCGCGACATCCCAAATTTCATGGGCAGTTTCCAATCGAAGGAAGTGTTGCATCATGGAAGGAGACATGGATTCTATCAGCCAACTCTTCACACGCTTGTTATCAGTGATCCAGGCGTCATAGGTAGGGTCTTCAACCGGTGGTTTTTTCGTCGCACCTGTCAGGAAACCCGATTTGTTGCGGGCTCCTACGCGCATGTCCATTAGCTGAGACCACAAAGGGTAGTTGGTGTCGTCGAGCATCACGGTGACTGGGAATGAGGAGTTATCTTGGTGGATGACAATATTGGATGTGGTTGCGGTAGTGAACGATGGGAAGGTGGTAGAGTCATTTGGGGAATCAGTGTCGGCGTTGGCGTCGTCCATGATTTGGGAAAGGGATGAGCGTTATTCAGAAGAAACAGGTCGGGTAATCTTAGAAGAGAAGAAGGGAATAGGTTCGGGTCGGGTTGGAATAAAAAATTAAGAAAGGAACGGAAAGAGATAATACGATGTGGGGTTAAAAAAATTAGTCCCATGATCAGAACGAACCTGATACCATGTCAAATTCTAATACTGAGTTACTCATAAACACAACTACTGCAAAACGTGATTTTCATTCATACTTTCATCTCCAAATTGGAGGTATATTTATACAGCAATAGTATCCTAATTTTTAGGAACAACCAACTGTACTAAATAAAAACAAATCAACAAATTCTATATAGAATCTTATACAAACAAAAATTTAAATTAGATAACAACTTCTAATTTTATATATATATATATATATAGAGAGAGAGATCATTTGACTCCAGAGTAAGACTTTTAAATCATACTCTCAATCCTAACCGTTGATTTCCGTCCATCCAATGATTATAATTTAGGAAGTTATATTAATTAATTAATTAATTAATTATTAATTACACTATAAATGACAATCGTTGATTTCCGTTCATCAACGATTGAGATGGAGAGTAAGACTATCAAAAGAACCCTCCCATATATATATATGACCACATCTTAAATCTTACTCTGGAGATGGAGAGTAAGACTTAAAAGTCTTACAATGTTACGACCACATTTAACCGTTGATTTCCTCCAATCAATGATTATCATTTATTACGAATTAATAATTAATTAATGAGTTTGATTTAAAAAATGATAACCGTTGATTGGCGGAAATCAACGGTTAAGATGTGGTCGTAACATTGTGCGTAACATTATTTGTGTGTCACAATATCCTATCTCTATATAGATATTCAATCATCCTCAATACGATAATATCATTTTGGGATAGATTTAAAATTTTAATTCTGAACCCGCCCTGAATTGTACTAGTCGCAAAACAATGAATCGTACTAATCACGAGTTTATGAACGATGCACACATACATAGGAGGAGTTTGCATTTTCTCTCATTCAACCAAAGATAAATATCAAGACATCAAAATTAAGTTTATTAACCAAACAAATTATTTCTAAGCGGCTTAGCTTCCACTAAAATAATTTGTAAAGTAAGAACAGTTCTAAGAAATTATTTCATCCCAACACAAAAAAGAAAAAGAAAAGGTGAAACCCACTAAGAAAGAAAGAGAGAAAGAAAAAAGTGAATTATATACATTTTTTGTGTGTTGTATGAAACAAAAAATTATCTGATAGAAACATATTTCCCAAAAAAAAAAAAACACTAGCCAAATATGAGGAACAAGCTCTTAACCTAAGCATCTTGGGTTATCAGACTTGTTTGTGAAATAAATCACTTAGTTATATAACGTATAAACTTTTCCAAAAAATTTACTTTTAAAGTATGTAGTTCTAAGAATATTTTTGAAAAATAATCATACCCTACTTGCTAAAATTATTTTTGTAATATTTTCTGTAATGGTCTAACAATATGAAATTAGCCTCGTGTTTGTTTCTCTTCTATTTTGCCTTTTCTCTTGTTATATATATATATATTTATATATATATATATATATATATATATATATATATATAAAATCATCTTCAATACGATAATATCATTTTGGGATAGATTTAAAATTTTAATTCTGAACCCGTCCTGAATTGTACTAGTCGCAAAACAATGAATCGTACTAATCGCGAATCAATGAACGATGCACACATACATAGGAGGAGTTTGCATTTTCTCTCATTCAACCAAAGATAAATCTCAAGACATCAAAATTAAGTTTATTAACCAAACAAATTATTTCTAAGCGGCTTAGCTTCCACTAAAATAATTTGTAAAGTAAGAACAGTTCTAAATTTTTAACTTAAATAATATCAGTTGATGTGAGAATTAATTCTAGAGCCATGTTTTTTTATTGTAGAGATAGCGTTATTATCTCAAATAGTACCTGTGATATGTCAGCTATTTTGGATAGTACAGTACAGAAGTGGACACCAAACCAGGCTGAGTGCGTAACAGGGCCATTTCCATCCATGGGATCACGAGCGAAACAACGATTTGTTTTTTTTTGAAAAGTTAACCCCGTATCTCTTTCTTTTCTAGCCATATTCAGAAGATATCAGTGCCCCCATTGAATAGAGATTTTAATTGGCCAAAAGCATCTGCCTCTAGTCACTTACGTTCTAGGGATGATAGTTGTTGAGATATATAGTCCCACATTGATTGGATGGACAACTAATATGACCTTTATAATGCCTTGGGCACTCCCACCCTTTGAGCTAGCTTTTGAGGTGGTGTATCCCAAGGTTCTTTACATGGTACCAGAGCCTCACCGTTCCCCGCTTTAAAAAGTGGAATTAAAAAAATAAAAAGCATAAAAAGGTAAACTAAACCAAAAATGGGCCTGTGCAATTTCCACGCTTCTAGCCTAAAAAGGGCTCTTGCGTGAGGGGGCGTGTTGAAATATATAGTCCCACATTGATTGGATGAGCAACTAATATGGCCTTTATAAGACATTGGTCACTCCCACCCTTTGAGCTAGCTTTTGGGGTGGTGTATCCCAAAGTTCTTTACAATAGCAAAGTTCAAACTTCTCACATCTAAAGCTGTTCATGAGTTATATATATAAACACTACCACCAGTGACAACTGACAGCTATGCTGTGACATCACAAATAAACACACCAACAAACCACATATTTATTATAAAGGGAAGCAACCCACTTCAACATGATACGTTCACCTTCCAATTCTTAACATGGTTCAGTCACAGTACATATCTGATGTTCATAAACCTCATAATTTAGAGCTACTTCATGCGTTCACTTTTGGTGCCCATCCTGCAATAACATACTCCTTTGCAGCCTTGGTTTTCTCAAATGATTCCCGGGAGAAGAGCAACTGCAACGTAACATGAATATCCATCAACCAACCAAATCGCTTACAGTTATATTACTCAAACCAGCAATTACATCCTTTTCTTTATCAAACGCAAAACATTTCAGTTGCGGGAATGGTAAATTAAGGCACTAAGCACCCAAGAAGTTGATGGTCTGTACTATAGAATATGTCAACACTCTAAACAGTGAGGATGAAAGTTCTGAGTCATCATATACAACACTAACATCATATCAATAAACTATCACAACGACTAAAAGTGATAACACCAAGCTTGATGAATTATCACAGAGAATAAATGTGATGACCAACTGAGCTCTAATAAAAAAATGAGGACCAACCAACCAAATCAATGTAATAATCTTCTGAGGATCAAATGATGTTCTAGAAATCATTCAAGGACCAAAACAGAAATTTACTCTATTCAAGTATGTAATTCTCCACCCCAAGAGAGCTCATGCAGGACCAACTCACAATTGAATAATAGTTTTTTTTTTTTTTCATGCGCTGTAGGCTGTAGCACACTATTTGTCCCCTTTATGTCTAAATGCTCTATGCACGGTCAAGATTAGACTAATTTATACATAAAGAAGTCCCAATTTTCTTAACCGAAGACCAGTCCTTTCCAATGACATTTACGTCTTTACTAGTAAATAGTAATCTTCTCTTCTTCTTTATCTTGACTAAAAAAAACATATATTAAACAATCAATACTTCTGTCATTTTGAACAAAGTTCAAGCATAGTCTAAAAAATGCAACAAAAAACAGTTGGCGTGATGTCACGGCAACAGAAAATTGTCATTCCCAAATACCAATCAAGGTCACAGCGCGCTCTGCACAACTATTAAATGGCAATGCAAAAGACTTGCACTATTGTCAAATGCACTATGCACGATCACGATTAGACAAATTTATAGATAAAGAAGTCCCAATATTTTTAACCGAAGACCAGTCCTTTCTGTTGTGGACCACTTATGTGGTACCCGCTTTCTATTCCCACTACATGGAACATCTCATTCCATCACTCTCCCATAACTTCCATCCACTACCAATAACCACCCATTAAGCATTGCATCATGCCATTAAGTCACCTGCAAACTACTCACTAGGAGCAGAATCTCCTAGTGCATTCATCTATATATAACCCCTTATAGCTAACAAAGGGGATCATCTCATATCTAGGATCTCATAACTCATCTAGGAACTCATCTGATAACTTATCCTGGCCACCATGGCTACAATCTACATACTTGTGCCCAGAGCACATCCTCTACACCGCAGGTGACTTACACACACCCCCTGTTCATACCATCGGACTTTGGCCTAAGGTGCAGGACTTCTCATTGCCTGTCATCTTTACCATAAGCTCCGTAGATACAAATACTAGCTATCCTGCTAGACCATTAATGTTCATTCCAGAACACTTTCCAATGACATTTACGTCTTTACTAGTAAATAGTAATCTTCTATTCTTTATCTTGACTAAAAAAACATATATTAAACAATCAACACTTCTGTCATTTTGAAGAAAGTTTAAGCATAGTCTAAAAAATGCAACAAAAAACAGTTGGCGTTCGAAAACAGAAAATTGTCATTACCAAATACCAATCAAGGTCACAGCGCGCTCTACACAACTATTAAATGGCAATGCAAAAGACATGACTATAGCGTCCCAAAGGATTACATGCATTGCAGAAAACAACTGAGCGTTCGAAAACAGAAAATTGTCATTACCAAATACCAATCAAGGTCACAGCGCGCTCTACACAACTATTAAATGGCAATGCAAAAGACATGACTATAGCGTCCCAAAGGATTACATGCATTGCAGAAAACAACTGAATACCTCAACGTATTTGTGCACGTGTGCCAAATTTTCAGGAATAGTCCACTTCTTGAAGTGGTCAAGTGCTACCACCAGATGGTACAGTTTTGGTGCCAAACTCAAATCAACAGCAGTTACCTTCTCCCCAGCAACATACGGACCCTGAACATAACTTCAGTATATTAGCATGGCTAATTAGTTATTTTTAAAAAAAAATACAATTATCCAAAAAAGGAAGATTGTTTATTATAAATTCACATATATACATGGGCCTTAAGATGTTCGTCCAAAGCCTTCAATTCAGCAACCAACGCTTGTTCTGTTCCATCACTGGGATCCTTGCTCTTCAAAAAACTCACGAAAGAACCAAATATCTTTGATCCCCTGCAAGTGTAAACATAGTGTACAGCCGAATTCAGTAATGAAGAACAACTCTCTCAATTCAAATAATATTTTCTTAACAATTAGAACCCAGCACAAATTGAGCACCCTTACTTTTCTCAACAGTGTGTACTAGTTTTATCTTGACATAAACACAACAGCAAAAAAGAAAGAAAGAAAAAGAAAAAGAAAAAGAAAACAACAACAAAGAACAGAAGGAGGAAATAACAAAAACAAAGAAAAACCATCAACATCTGTGAAAAACACTATGAATATAATAATTTGATTTAATATTTAACTTAATATTAATAAGGTTTTTTTTTTCTTTTGCTTTGACATAAATTCATTTGATTTGTGTATCCGGTCCGTTAGAAATTTAGAATCGAAAGGCCAGTCAACCCAAAAGAAACAACATCAACTATTCCCAGTTAGATAGCAAAAAGTAAACTTTGAATGGAAAAAAATAAAGGGTCAAGGAGCATACACGGAGGCAAATTCAGGAGGAGTGGCGAGAGGAGGTTCTGGGTATTTTTCCTCGAGTATCCCCACAATAACATCAGAATCAGGCACCCATTTTCCATCAAACTTAACCACCGGTACCTTCCCTTCAGGATTCACCTCCAAAAACCTACCAATAACCCAATTTAAAAAAGGAAAAAAAAAAATTGATGTCATCCCATGGACGAGACACGCTGAAAACAAAAAGCGACATTAGAGTTCATTTTCCAGGTACAATACAATACCATTGGGGTTTGTTACTGAGATCAATGAGGTGGATGTTGTGTGGGATTTTCTTCTCCTCCAAAGTTAAGAGGACCCTTTGGGAAAATGGACCTAGAAACAAAACAAAACCAAACCCAAAAATTACAAACAATTAATTAACCAGAACCCAGAAACATTTTGTAAACCTTAAAAGACAGAAAGAGATAATGGAAGAAGCATACAATCTCCGAGAACATTAGGAGCTCCGACAGCAGCCTTCACGGAAACCTCGAGAGCCATTTAGGATTAATGATGATGAAATGTAACAGAAACACAGAATGGGGAATGACAAGTAAGTGAGCTCTTGGTCTGTTGGGTTCACTCCATTATTATAGGAAGAATAAATACACTTTTGGTCCCTAGTTCTCTCCCTTCAAAAAATAAATAAATTAGTCGATTTCTTTTTATTAAATTCAAAGTAAATTTATTTTAGTTATTTTGAAGAAATAATATAGATCTTTTTTGAAGTTATAAAAGATCACAATTTCAACTAAATAGATCCATTTTAAATTTTTTAAGAATTTCGAAACTAAATTTTTCATAAGAGACTAAAGTAAAAATCATATTTTTTGTTAAAGATAAAAAATGATATTTACTATTATAAGAATTTGCATCTTGTCACGTATATTATCTTATAATTAAAAATTATTATTTTTTACTTAAAGTTTATTAAAGTTATCTTTATATTTATTTTTTCCTCAATATTTTCCTGTTTAAAAACAGTTAGAGAAGAAGTGCACATCGTTATTAAGTTCGTATTCTTTTTCTAAATATTTTATATTAAATATTATGTATTAAATAATAAATATTAAGAAAGTGTTTGGTGAGAATATTATTTTTATTTGCTGTGTAAAAATATAAGCAAAATTCAAGTTAAAAATATTACCAAAATAGTGATATTCTTGAAATTTCACTCGGTTAAAAAATACATCAAATTTTTTAAGATACAAATATTCTTAGCTGTTATTTTTTTTGGAAAGTTAATTTTGTAAAATGATTATATATTCCTAATAATATTTTATAGTTGATCAAATATAATATCAAAGAATTAATTCAATATTTTTAAAAATATTTTCATTTTCAAAAAAATTACTTTTCCATTATATTCTTAAAATATAGTTTTTGAATAAAAAAAAGTTTATGATCTGTCAAACGTCTCCTCAAGCAATAGTTCACTATCATAATACTATTCATGTGAAAAGATGACTCGAGTCTCGAAGTTTCATTTACTTTTTTTATTTTTAAGTTTTTTATTTTTTATTTTTATGATGAAACCGCGCTAAAAATATCATAGAAGGGGACTCTCTTTTTTTTCTTTTTCTTTTTCCGAATGTGTAATGAAAAACAAAGCAATGTAGCGTCACTGTCAATTTTACACCAAAATAATTGTATTTCTTTTCTAGTGAATCTTATGAGAAGGGAATGAGTTGTGTCCTAATTAAGTAATTAAATGACATATCTCTCTGAAACAGAAAATAAAAATTACTTTGTTATTATGGTTAAATATTTTAAATTTCATATTGCTAATTGTCACGAAAATGAGTTCATGAATTTTGTAGTAACTGATCATATTGGTATATTTCTTTATATAGTCAGTTTCACTTTTTTTCTTCTATCCCACTTTTTTTTTTCTATCAGTGTTACACGAATTTATAAGTTATTTATGATAAATTTTCTAAAAAGTTATATTACTATTTACATTAATAACAAAAAATAAAGAAAACTTACAGTTATTTTTTCATAAAAAATAGTTACATAATTATTATTCTTATTTTATTTTATAAATCCAAAAATTGTAGCATAAAAATGGAAAATTTAATTGCAATCTTGTCTTTTAATTCTTAAGTTTGACCAAATATAAATCTGGATTTAATATTTTTGTTTTAATTTCATAAAAACAATTTTGTTATACTTACACAAAAGTGAGTCAGACAAATTATAAAGAGGAGAGGAAGAAAATATTAACCAGACTTACTCACTTTTATAGTGAGTATGAATATGGTAGAAATTTTTGTTTACAGTAAAAGTAAAAATATTTGTCACTATAATTATAGAATACATAAATTTATATTTGTTATTCCCTATTTATCCAAAAATTCATAAATCAAAATGAGATTAATTAATTTTTAATAAAACAATCAAAAGTAAAGGATATGCTTTGTGACTTTATGTTGATCTACATCTTTGGGAGAGTGACTATTTTGTTACGTTTGAACAAAAAAATTATCAGACTGTCACGACAACAGTAAATTTTGTCAAAATGTCACGCGGCATAATTCGCTACACAGTGTAGCGAATTATGTATGCAAGTAATTCGCTACACAGTGTAGCGAATTATGTCACGTCAGAACCAAAAATGCCACATGTCAAATTTTGCAAAATTTGCTACCCTATGTGATTCTATTTTGCTATTTTATTTAGGGGATAGATTATTCTACCTATCACTTTTTTTGCCTATCTTTGTCTACCACATTCGAATATCATTAGATTAGAATCTTCTGAAGAGAGAAAAAGATAAATGTTAATTAAGATTCTGATCTAATGGTATTTTAGAGTGATAGGCAAAGATAAACAGAAAAAATAATAAGTAGAATAATTTTTATTTTTATTTTTTTGGTACAGACACCTTTCCCTTTATTTAGATAAGTTCTAATGGATTTTACTATATAGCTTTGTTATAACATCATTCAAATTCAATTATGTATTATTAAATTATTAAATGAAGTTTGATTATTATGATAATCTACCATAAATAATTTACTTTTAATTTATTTTTAATGTAAAAATTTTAAATTATGGTTTAATCTTACATTATTAATAACTAAAAAAATTTACTATCATATAAGCATTATCTAAAAAGATATTTTTAAGGAGAACTGCTAACAAAGGATTTTTTTAACATTGCCTTTTAATTTTGTATTATCATAAGCATTACTATAGCGAGATTAGTTTTACCTTAGTTTTACAATTGAATTATATTTTTCCCCTTTGTTTAAATCTTGGTTTCTGATTAACTGAATACCCCATACTTTCATTTTTACTCTAATTTGTTAGTAATAAACTAATGCATTTTAGTATAAAGCTTTTTTACAACATCATTTAATATTATTATATTATTATTAAGTTCGATTCTTATAATAATTTTTTTTGGGAGGGTAATTATATAATGATCTTTAGTTGAGTTGAGTAGCGTCATTTTATTTGGAGATGACACATTTTTCATGTGTGGGCACTACTAAGAAAAGGAGAGATTCTTTTATGCTTAAAAGCTCGCCATAGTGGTGTGGTACTGTGGTCCGCACCATGTCAATAACATTTTAAAATTTTCATTACGTGTGAATGAATGTATGCATCGGTGCTGCAATCGTCCAAGCTCAACCACACGTTCATCCTTTTGTAAAGAAGAAGTGACTTCCATATCTTTTCTTTTGGAAGTATGATTTGAGGTAGATCGATCTATTTAATCCAATAAATAAATTAATAATTTTTCAGAAAAAATAAAAGAATGATACGTAACAATTCTTCAAACAGGGTATGAAAAATAATTTTAAAGAGACATTAGATGGATTACCCAGCTCACATAACAGTCACGTGTAAAATTTATACGAAATGAAATAAATAACTTTTTTTTTCACAAATATATATTTTCCTCACCAGTTTTGTTAATATATCACAGACAAATATACAAGTGCGAAAAGTTTGAGATTTACTCTAAAATGTACAAATTTTTTTAATAAATTAAAATGAGGATATATTTTAATTAAATTAAAAATATCAGGAACTTGTTACATATATTCCTCTAGCATGTGTATGCTGGAAATGTGTTAGGAAATGAGGTAGAACATGTGGAACTTACAAAATGAGGATGTAACTTTCAATACTGAGGTAAACACTACATGATTGTTAAACTTGTGCTCAACTGGAAACCTTTAAGCAATGTTATCAGACCCTGATATTGGGCCGTTGGGTCATTAATTTCACCAGTGATTCACGGATTTAATTGCATGACCCAATTAATATGTGAAAACTTATATTTTATACATCAAAATACTTAACTATATGTAAAAAAATTGTTATGCAAGGCTAACACATATATAGTTTTTGTAAGGATAAAAATATAATAACCACGTATAATATATTGTAAAATAAATAAACAAAGAAAAAATAAAATTGAAGTATCATATAACCATATATAATTCTTCTACTAAATATCCTTAACTAACATGTTTAATAATTATAAGGCATTTACCAATAGCTCTTTTCATAAAAATAAATGGCTAAATTATATATAACCACCTTGTAGTTTAATGATTTTTCAAAAAATACCTTATACTTTTAATTAAAACAAATACCCCCTTAAACTTTAATATTATAACAATTAAACGTATTTAATAATTTTAAGACAAAAATACCCACACTAACCATCTTCTACTTGCCATCGGTCACCACCCCTAAATGTTTGTATTCCATTCTTAATTTCTACCACCAACATTATCATCAATAATGTTGTTTACCTTTAATGGGATTCCATCGTCACAACTTCAAACCTTATAGAATTTCGCTTAAGAAGCTTACCATCAACTTCTCTCACCCTAATAAATTTGATGGACTTTTAAATAGATGTGTCGTCGGGATAAAGGCATTACAAAAATTTAATGCTGATTACTTTTGGTTTCTTGGAAGATTATAAAGGTTTGTCAAGCACCCGTGAAACTTGACCATTAGTGAAAGAGTTGATCGAGCGGTTTCAGTCTGGACGTAGGTCACAAAGTGGTGGTGACCGAACCAGGATATATTGTGTTAGCAATTCTCTAAACTCTAAACTCTTAATTTCTAGCACTCTAATTGCTTCTTTGATATTTGTATGTGCTAGTATAAGTTCTATAATTGTGATATATTATATATTATGGATTGTCTGAATGTATTGATTAGATTTCCACATATCAAAGTTTGCTTGAAATAATTATTTAGAAACTAGAAGGGGGCTTTTGCGAAAATTTTGTAATACTCAACTCTTGAGTATGAAAGCCACATTCCTAACACGAAGGTTGTCGAGCTCATCCCAGAGAGTCTTCAACTCAGTGAAATAATCAGTCACACTCATCTCACCTTGACGAAGTTTGTACAAATCTTCTTGAATTTCATAAAGTTTGAATATATCAGATTGACTAAAGCGATTTTTCATATCTGTCCACACATCCGAAGCACGATTCATCCATAGGATTGACTTTTCGATTGAACCATTTATTGATATGTGGATCCAAGCAAGAACAATAGTGTTGCATCTTTGCCAAGCAACATAAAGAGGATCGTGAATGGCAGGACGAGTAATGGTTCCATCAACAAATCCAAGCTTATTTTTGGATAATAATGCCATGCTCATAGCTCTTGCCCAAGTATGATAATTCTTTCCACTCAAAGGTGGGTTTACAAGAACGAGAGAGGGATTCCCGTTTGGATGCAAGAAAAATGGGCGACCTGGATTGGTCAAGTAATCAGGAACATTTGTCATTTGCAGAAAGAAAAGAAAATTGAGAAAAGAAACGAATGAGAAAATTTTGTAGCGGAAATGGTGGATACCAGAGCTAAAGAAGCTCTTATACCATATTAGAAATCAAGAATCGTGAAGGTAAAACAAAGAGTGGAGAGGGTTTCATTTTGAGATGAAAGAATGATTTTCTATTCTGTGAAGAAATTACAATGTTTATATTTATACACAGCTTATATACAAAATAATCTTTAATTGAACTACTCTAACTTTCTAACTGAATCACGTGGCGTCTATTATAACATTTGAAGAGATGGTGTGGCTCTCTTCTTTTGTTCTGTTACTTCCTTTTTGATCCACATTAGCAGTAACATTTTCACCCAATAGTGGTGGTCGTATCAGGATAGTGGTGGTGATGGTGATGATGGTAGTAGTACTGAAGAGTGATTGAGAAAGACAAGTGTTTCTCATTTCGTGCCGGGAAAAAAAAAAAAGACTTTTTTTGATTTTTTTTATCTGTTCCCCAGCACAAAAATTAATTCGGTTCTTCCTTGGAAAAATTAAATCGGCTGTGCTAAACGAGCTTCCTAATCAATTCAATTTTCAAGAACAAAAATTAAAAAAGAACTGAATTTGGAAAGATTGTCATCCACACCCTAAAAATTAGGAATACTGATAAAAGAAAAAGAGAGATTCTTTTATGCTTAAAAGCTCGCCATCATCGACGGAAAAAATATGCCAAGTAGTGGTACTGTGGTCCGCACCATGTCAATAACATTTTAAAATTTTCATTACATGTGTAATAAATGTATGCATCGGTGCCGCAATCGGTCCGCACCACGTTCATCCTTTTGTAAAGAAGAAGTGACTTCCTTATCTTTTCTTTTGGAAGTATGATTTGGGGTAGACCGATCTGTTTAATCCAATAAATAAATTAATAATTTTTCAGAAAAAAAAAGAGTGATACGTAACAATTCTTCAAATAGGGTATGAAAAATAATTTTAAAGAGACATTAGGTGGATTACCCAGCTCACATAACAGTCACGTGTAAAATTTATACGAAATAAAATAAATAACTTTTTTTCACAAATATATATTTTTCTCACCAGTTTGGTTAATATATCACATACAAATATACAAGTGTGAAAAGTTTGAGATGTACTCTAAAATGCAAAATTTTTGTTAATAAATTAAAATGAGGATATATTTTAATTAAATTAAAAATATCAGGAACTTGTTGACATATATTTAGGGGTGTAAATGAGTTAGGTCGGCCTACAGGGACCTATGGTCTAACCTATATTAGGTCAGACTTGACTTATTATAAGTAGTAAAATAAAATAGGTCTAGGTTTTTAAAAAATCCTATTTAGAAAATAGGCCATAGGCTTTTTTTTGTACATGTCGAGCCTATAAGTCTACAGGACGGCTTATATCATAATATTTATTTAAAATATAATAAATAAAGTTATTATTTAATAATTTTGAATAATAAAATAATATTATTTTATTTATTCATTTAATTGTTGAATGTTTAATAGGTTTAGAGAGGCTAACAGGCCTAGGCTAAGGCTTTTATTTTTTGAATATAGACCAGGTCAGACTTGTAATTTGGAGTCTACACAGGCTAATAGGCCAGGCCATGTCCAATATTTTTTTACATAGACTTAGCCTGTTTAAGCCAAAGTCTTGCCTAACCTATTTACACCCCTACATATACATGTGTATGCTGGAAATGTGTTAGGATCTGAGGTAGAACATCTAGAACTTACAAAATGAGGATATAGCTCTCAATGCTGAGCTAAACACGACATGATTGTTAAACTTGTGCCCAATTGGAAACCTTTAAGCAATGTTATCAGACCCGGATATTGGGTCGTTGGGTCATTAATTTCATCAGTGATTCACCGATTTAACTGCATGACCCAATTAATATGTGAAAACTCATATTTTATACATAAAAATACTTAACTATATGTAAAAAAATTGTTATGCAAGGCTAAAACATATATAGTTTTTGTAAGGATAAAAATATAATAACCACGTATAATATATTGTAAAATAAATAAATAAAGAAAAAAGAAAATTTAAGTATTAGGTAACCATATATAATTATTCTACTAAATATCCTTACTAACATGTTTAATAATTATAAGGCATTTACCAATAGCTCTTTTCATAAAAATGAATTTGTAAGGAATCAATATATCACCTTCTTTTAATCTATTGTTCCGTAAATTACTTCAGTCTTTGAAGCTGAAATTTGATGTCATCGTAAAAAAGTATACTACTAACAAACAAAATTACAGAATTTTTTAAAAGGAGTTTCACACTTTTTGAAGACAACCTTTTAAGTGAGAATCTTTCATCTGGAACAGATCGTTTAGAGTGGCATTCTTGTGAAGTGATAATACTTATATCTGATCATTTGTATATATTTTTTTATAATTTGTTTCTTTAACTAATTATAAAGTGCATATATCTCAACAACACGAGTCATTCAATAATATAAATAATTAGAACTCCTATTTTATTTTATTTTAATTTCACAAACGTGTTGTTTAAGCCCACGACCCGTTTGACAGGCCCAATAAATACCCAACGAAGAACCCGATGTTGAAACCTAGAAATCTAAACCCTGTGACTCTCTTTCAACACAGAACCCTGGCGAGTGGCTATCACCATTAGCCATCTCCATGAGTATGGCTTCTTTCACTTTCAAAGCCGAGTTGGTATCCACCTTCTTTGGCTTTGCTTATCGCAATCCCAAACCCTTCACTCCAATCCAAACCACCTTTGTCCCTCTTCTATGCAAAACAAAAACTCATTCCCAATCGCTATCTTCTTATTCCTTTTCTAGAACATTCGCTCTAAACCCTACCAGAGGAGCTCGCCGATTCACCGTCACCGCAACCACCACAGCGCCGCCTCATACTGAGGGCTCCGATGTTTCCCCCGCGATTCCGCCCGATAATCGCATTCCGGCTACCATCATCACCGGCTTTCTCGGTTCTGGCAAGGTATCCTATCTTCTCATTTTCTTGTTCATTTTCTTGATTTATGGAGATCCTTATTACGATTGTACTTAATGCGACTTGTTTCATTGTTCGTATTTCTACAGGTTTGGCGAATCCAGCACCAATAATCCAGACATTTTTATGCTGAGGATAAGATTTTTAATGAAGTCAAGTTGGATGGTGTTGTCACTTGGTTGATGCAAAACATTCTGATTTTCATCTTGACGAAGTTAAGCCAAAAGGCGTGGTCAATGAGGCAGTGGAACAAATTGCTTATGCAGATCGTATAATTGTAAATAAGGTATTGAATACTTTATTCTTATCGCAGAACGGCCTCATTTCTATGTTAATGTGGTAAAATTTTTGGATTATTTAGAAAATAGCCTCTCAGTTTTGATCTAGTAACTAGTTAACCAACTGATGGATAGTTTAGTTTTATTCTAGTATGGCTGACCTTGTCTGTCAATATATTCAGAGTTTATTTAATACAAAATGTAATTTGCCATCCATTCTGAAAGACCGTATTTGCAGTTGATCGCCTTTTTGCAAACTGTTATGGGTGACAACACTCTTCCAGTTTTTGGTGAGACAGTAGATGCTTGTGCTTGTCATGTTCCACTTCTTCAACGACAATGTCAACTCATTAAGAGATGGATCCAACACCTTCATTTCAACTCCGACAAGTTTTCCTTTTGAGCAATCTCTCTCATTCAATGTTGCCTTCTCAGCCTCAGTGAGGAAATCACAACGAATTTCTTTCATCGGCATTGATAAACGGTCGTGATTCGGGGTCAAATCTGTCTGGAAGAGTTTCTTGCTCATCACAAATTGAATGTCGCTGCCGTTCAACTCTCTGATATGGTTCTTGAATTCATCAGGCAGAACCGGTGGAGGCAGCGGCAGCGGCGATGATGCTGGTAGCAGTGGTGACTGCGGTATTGATGGCAAATTCCAACCTGAAATTTTTCCCATCAAATTCCATGATGGCAAAGCAAACAGAGCAGCACGATAGTTGAGAAAGGGAAGCAGGGTTTCTGGTGCAGGGGTTTGGAGCGGAACGGCCAGAAGGTATAAGTTTTTATCTATCAATATTTACGGGGTTTGTGTTGAATTTGTAGTGAACGATTAGTTACAAAGTCAAACATGCATATCTCAATTTTAATTTTGAATTTGGAGATATGCCATTCTCAGAAGTTGAATCTTGGATAAACCATTGGAGATAAGCTTTCATGAGAAGTAGAATATTTGGAGATAGATTTTCATATATTTAATGATTTAATATTAGTTAAGATAATTCTCATAAATAACTTTCCAAATATATGACTAACTAACACGGTTTAATTATTTGATTTAGATTTTTGTATCTTTTCTGATTTTATATCAGATAGTATTATGCATATTTGATTTGAGGAGAGGGCAACACGAAGGTCAAGAGCTCAATAAGATCTTGTTCTTCTTCCCTGCGGGTTTGCCTTTCTCTAAGAAACTTTCTGTTATTGGCCTCAGTGAAGGACTCATTACTTTTACAAGGTTCTCTCTCTCTCTCTCTCTATATATATATATATATATATATGTTTCTATTGTATTGTCAATTCCACATTAATTGATTGAATTGATTCATTTGTGTGCTTAAATTGCAGAATTTGTAATATCTCTATCTCTGTCTCTCTGCTCCACCCGTTCTCATCCTATTTTCTTGGTTGCTCATAGAGTCTTTTGATTTATGCTGCTATGATTTTTTTTTATTTGATGTTGAACAGACTTTTGAGTGTAGGTCTGATTCATATTAACAAGGAAGAAACCTACAGTTTCAGGCATTCTTTGGTTGACTTTATCATGCAAATATATTAATTTCAATGAAACAAGGTGAATTTATCTAATGAGTCACCTCATAGCCCAAGTTTGATTTAGCTGTTGTAGGAAAGCTGTTATTGCTCATCAATGATTAGTTGATTAAGATTTAAGATGAAATTTACTTGCTTATTTGCATGTAATGTATCTATTATGTAAGTGATTTTATACTTTTTACGTTCTCCAATCTTTAAATGTTTATGCATTTTCATCCCACACTTTGGATCCAGTGTCCACATAAGCTATAACTATCTTACAGCTATTTTGATGTAAAAGAAAGAAGTTTAGCTTGTTAGTGGAATTCCATTTTTGTTGATTTCTTCTTCTTTTGGCAGTCGCTTGTCTGGGGGCTCGAATCTTCTGCTGGAAATATTGCCTGCTAGTCTTTGATTTTATTTCAAGACCTGCTGGTGTCTACGACACTATCTCCTGTATGGTTTAACTTTCGTGTACAATTATGTTTTTATTTTTATTTTTTATGACCAAATTTTAATGAGAAAGTTGCTTGGTCATTCATTAAGTTACTTATTAACCTTGACTGTTGATTCTTTTGTCAGGACGACACCATAAATTTATTCACATATGCTGTGGTAAGGTTGACCCCACATGCTCTATCTTCTGTAGCAAGTTCCTGGTCCTACTTGCGAAAAGCAAATACTGCATCCAAAGTTGACAGAGTCTAACAGGCTACAAAGAATTCAGCACCACTATCTTCATCTTCATCACCGCAGTCACCACCAACACCGTCACTGCCACCGTTACCACCATCGCCACTGCTATCAGCATCATTACCGCTGCCACCACCGATTCTGCCTGATGAATTCAAGAACCATATCAGAGAGTTGAACGGCAGCGACATTCGATTTGTGATGAGGAAGAAACTCTTCCAGACAGATTTGACCCCGAATCATGACCGTTTATCAATGCCGATGAAATAAATTTGTTGTGATTTTGTGACTGAGGCTGAGAAAGCAACATTGGATAAGAGAGATTGCGCAAAAAGAAAACTTGTCGGAGTTGAAGTGAAGGTGTTGGATCCATCTCTTACTGAGTTGATATTGTCGTTGAAGAAGTGGAACATGACAAGCACCAGCATCTACTGTCTCACCAAATACTGGAAGAGTGTTGTCACATAACAGTTTGCAAAAAGGCGATCAACTGCAAATATGGTCTTTCAGAATGGATGGCAAATTACATTTTGTATTAAATAAACTCTGAAGATATTTAGAGCATAGACACTATTGTCGAGGTATGTAGGTGATATATTAGGGAATATAGGTGACAACGAAAGAATGAAAAAAAAAAAAATTCTTTTGTTTGTTCCCGTTGAATTTTTTATAATAATAATAAAGAATTTGGTTTGTATCTTTTATTTCAGTTTGTACTTTTTTTTTATAACGTAGCTGATGCAGGATTTTTTGTGATGGAGTACTGAGAATAATAAGATAAACTAATTGGTGTAAATATTTTTTAGAGAATGATTAATTATTAACGTTAATTATTTACTGTTTTAAAATAAATATCATTTTATAATTTATATATAATAATAATAAAATAATTAAAATTTAGCTAGAGAAAAATGCTATTCATATATCCTAGATGCGCCCATTCTATTATGTGAGTCTCTCAGTGACCAGCAAATAAATGTATTGGGATCTTATTTTCATTCTTTCACCTAGTTTTTTCTTATTTGGTCTGGGTTTCGCAAGTATTATTCTTTACCGCCTTATTAAAGTCACTTTTGTTGGAAACTCAAATTTTAATATAAAAGAAATAAATTTTTAAGGTAATTTAATTATCAATTCTTTACCGTCATAAGCAGTAATTTAATTATTAAATTTTTAATTTTTATTTGAATTTTGTTGAATTTATGTCGATATTTAAATTCATGCATTTTATTGTTTCATTTATATTTTTCAGATATAATTTTATATATATTGTATTAATTAAGGTAAATTATGATGATAGAGGTTAATTGAAAAAAGAATTTTAAAAAAATTAAATTAATCTAAATATAATATATTATAATTATAATTGGAATCTAATCAACAATTAAAGAGTTAAAGTTCAAAAATATATTACAATAGTTAGGGAGTATAATTTAAAGTATAAAGAGAAATTTAAACTAAGCCATTAGAATTGGTTTAGGGGGTAGGATATTGTAACAATCAAGTATAGTTATTATCAATGTTACTACAAATCAATTTCACCGTTAGATTGGTTATTGGTTCAAATTTGATACTTATATAGCCCATTTCTATTTCTTCCCTTCTCTCTCTCTCACTACACTCTTTATACATCACTGCCGCCGCTGCCCCCTCTCATTCTTCCGCCTTGTCGCCGCCTTTAGATAATATGTTAGTATATTTCTTTGCAATTGAGGAAAATAGTATATAAGAAAATTATTTAAAAATCTCGTATGGCATGCTCGCTCAAAATATAAATTTGCAACTTGCAACTTGCAACCTCTGATCTAATTTCGTTTATATCTTATCTTTTCATAGTTTTCCGTTGCCTTCCGATTCGAAGGGCAAAAAGGCTGCTATAACATCATATCCTAGAACAGGAATATAGATCTGATTTCATTGAGATCAATACAGTGCGCATCTAAATATGGCATCGAATTCTGACTGGATTTTTTTTTTCTTTTCACCCCTTTTCTAATTATATACTCTAAGAGGGATTAAAGGCGATGACGAGGCGGAAGAGTGAGAGGGGTAGCAACGACAATGATGGACAATGGCGGCGGTGACGACTATGCGTAGAGAGTATAATGAGAGAGAGAAGGGAAGAGAGAGAAAGAGGCTATATAAGTATCAAATCGAACCGTCAGATCAAAATAACCAATCTAACGGTGAAATTGATTGATAGTAATATTGATAATAACTATACTTGATTGTTACAATATCCTACCCCTTGGTTTAGTACTTAAGAGTTTAGGTAAGTTATATTAAATTATGTATTCAATTCACAGTTGTTTAAAAAAATGAAGAGGAGAAATTTAAAGAAAACATGAGTTGATAAGCTAAAACAAAGACAAAGGATGTAGAATCTGATTTCATTAAGATAAATACAGCGCGCATCTAAAAAGTTGCATCGAATTCTGATCGGAAAAAAATAATTCTTGTCACCCCTTTTCTAATTATATACTCTGAGAGGGATTAAAAGCGGTGGCGAGGCGGTAGAGAGTGAGAGGGGCAGCGGCGGCGACGATGGGCAGCAGCGTCGGCGGCGGCGGCGACGGGCAACGGCTGTGGCTATGTGTAGAGAGTATAGTGAGAGAGAGAAAGAAATAGAGAGAAAGGAAGAAAAAGGGGCTATATAAGTATCAAATATGAACCGTCGGATCAAAATAACCAATCTAACGGTGAAATTGATTGGTATTAACATTGGTAGTAACTAAACTTGGTTGTTACAATATCCTACCCCATCAAAGAAAGACTTTTGATTGAAAAAGGAAGAATTCAAACTGAAATTATATAAAAAATAACTTAGCAATACAAGTCTTTCTTTTCTAATTTGTTAGGATAGATTTTATTTTGTTTTAAATTTTTGAACTCCGTATAAATTTAGGGAATTACTTTTCTCATGTAATATGAGAGAAGTTCTCTTATGTTAAGAAACAAATAAAGTTAACCTCACCAATTTTTTTTTTTAAATATAAGAGAGGCACATTTTTCGAATTGAGAGTAACATGAGATAACAATCGTATGCAACGTAAGATTTCTGATAAATTTAATGTCTATAAGAAGTTCGGTTTGTTTTCATCTGATAATCTTTTTTTTTTCTTCTTCTGAAAAACATTATGTAACTCTTGAATAGATGCTTGATTTATTCATGTTAAGCTTTTAAAAAAATAACTTTTTATGCATTGTTTTTTTTTAAAGAATTTTTTTAAAAGATAAAGTTATTTTATGTTTGAATGTATGATCTGAAATTGACTTTTATATAAAAAAGTTATTTGGATGTTAAAATAAAAAAGAACTTTTTATATATAAAATTACAATAAATGAGAGATAAAATATCATGATCGTGGGATGAGGAGAGATAAAATATGTATGATATGATGAGGTTAAAATTTTATTTTAAAAATTTATATTATCTTATTTCCAAAAAAAAAA